TCGATGGCTGCGGAAGGCGCGGAGCCGGTCTCGGCCCGGCCTGGGGCCTCTCGTCCCAGCCCTGCTCGGAGCTGGACCACCCCGCCTGCGCCTGCCTGCCCCGATGAATGGCCCTTCCCCGCGAGGGAGCGGCCGTGTCCAAGTGGCCCAGGCTTTTTCTGTGGCCCGATTAAAATATTTTGTAGGTCACCATTTGGGCGTCGCCCTTTTTAGCTCCGTTGCAGGTCTTGAGGGACGGGGGTGCCTCAAGGCCCCGCGAGGGAGGCAGCTGCCAACTGGTTCACCGTCAGCATTAACAACGTCCCAGGTGGCCTGAGGGAAAGCCAAAAAGTGTCTTGTAAAATTTAGATTGTTAATCTCTGTGATAACCAGGGATCCTGGTTTAAAAAAAAATCCCCAATTTTGTATTAAAAAAAAAAAAAAGTAACCCCAAATCCACATTTTTCTGTAATTAAAATGAAACACCACAATATATATATGTCTACGTATTAGCGGTGTTTCATTTAAATCATGGAACAATGTGGACTTGGGGTTACTTTTTTAAAATTAAAATTGGAGGATTTTTTTTTAAATTGGAGAAACCCAGGATCCCTGGTGATAACTCTGTGTTGACACTGGAAATATCTAGGATGGTGTAGCTGTGCTGGTACCTCTTTCTTTGAAATGGGCAAGATTACATCTATTTTGGGAAACAGCAGTGGGGAATAAAAGGAAGTCATGAGAAACGGGTCTAAAGTTTCTAGAAACTTTTTTTCTTTTTTGTGTGTGTGCACGCGCGCGTGTGTGAACGCACACACGTGCGCGTTTGCGATCAGACTTGAAGATTTCTGCTTTGATTTTATGAACAATATTGATGACGTGTGGATTCCTGGTCTTGCTGGGACTGTCTATTCACTAAAAGGATAGCAGGTCAGCAGCATGGTCTTGTCTGCTGAAAACTGAAAAGAAGTCTAACTGAGATAAACAAGCCTAAAATAGCAATTTGTAGAGGATAAAAGAACCAGATCAGGGAGAAATTCAACATCCTGAGTTGTCGCCCGGGGGAAAAATATCTCCTTAAAATAAGTTTGATTTATATTCATTTTAGACTATTGAGAAAGGAAGAAAACACCAATTGGGAATTGTCTACTGGAGTTCGCTTTGAGAGCAAAAAAGTAGCAGCAAGAATACCAATCCAGGCTTCATTTATAAAGATAACTTCACTAATAGCACTATTGATACTGAATTGCCCGCATACGTCAAAATAGCACACTCAATACTACTTTTCTAAGTCTTCTGGGGAGGAGGAAAGAAATTCTTCATGTACACTAAAGAAGAGGGTTTGAGAAGGCTGGACTAAATAAATCATGATCCCTGCTGTAATTTGTTCATATTTGTTAGGTGCAAAGTCTATGCTTCTCAAGCTATTCAAGTCCAGAGCAGGTCACCGCCATATTAATGCTGCTGTTTACAATGATGTACCTTGAAAATGTGTTCTTGTCTAGTCACATAACTAAGGAGGGACAAGTATCTCTGGTACTTAAGTTATAAGATAACCAAGGATTTCAATGCTTTTTGCAATCACTAATGAATTAGCCCTCAGTATCCCTCTGAGATAGGCAGTACTTCCATTTATTGATCATGGAGACAAAGAAAGGTGAAAGTGAACCTTAAATGAAATGAAGATAAATGGTTGCATTTCCCAACATGCTGTGCTTTTGCCATAAGGCCTCTTTTCCCTTGAGGTGGGAGATATGATAAACTAACACAACCACTGATGCTGCAGAAGGTGGTGCAGACCAATTCAGCAGGTGATGCTGAGTCTGTGCTAAATTTATGATGCAGTCTGGTATTACATTGTTTGGATGAGAGCGAGCTCTGATATCCTTAACTGAGCACCTGTTGTTCAAGAGGTACAGTTAGTGCTGGCATCATGGTGACTCTATAGCTCAAGTAATTTATGTTCAGTTATTTCTAAATCTCCCAACATAGTTTCATTTTGTTGTCATCTTTGCTTTCTGCCTTAAAATGCTATTGGCATTGTATTGTAATATATCTGTGGTATTTTTCAGGAGGCGAATGAGTTCTGTATCCAAGTTTGTAAACCATTTTATGATGGTATGGGCTGACAGTCATTTTTTAAATATAAAGATATTGGTGGTTAGTAGGAATAAGCAAGTTGAGTAGTAGAAGTTGAGTAGTAGTTGTTCTCATGTAAGGAGCTTTAAATGTGGAGAGCTTAGGCCAGTGATCCATCATATTTGGTAGACTTGCTGGTCTCTAGGTAGAAAGTGTTATAGAATAACAAAACTAGCAATAAAAAGGTCTTTCCCTTCCTGCTGTGTTTAACATGTTTTTCATACCTTCTTCATTCTTTTTACATTCCACTTATTCTTGTATAACTGCATGCAATCCCCAAATCTTCCTGTTTTTAGTACCATAAAGGATTCTTGCATTTTCCGATACAAAATGAGCCATTGCATCCACAGAGGACAGTTATTTTGCAACAGTTCAACATGCTTACTTTTCTGCACACTGCCCATTTAAAATTATCTTTGCTTGGCTTCTGTGGCCTAGTGATAGGTTGACCAACCTATGAGTAGGCATGGTGCCATCCTAGCAGTGGGTGTGAGCATGGGCATCCCAGAAACTATGAATGAATATCTTGTTTATTTAAGGGCGGGATTCCCAAGTGTCGATATTCACTATCCATCCTTAGCTTTCACTTCCGTGGCTTAAGGGGATGTTAATCAGAAATTCAGTTCTTTACAGTCTATTTAGGTATGTGACTGAGAGTATGGTGGACAAGTAAAACTGGAGGTAGGGGAGCCACTCTTCACCTGTCATTCTCATGGAGCTAATCAAAATAAACTGCTTTGTCCCCTCCAAGCAGGCTTGTCAGCAGCAGAATTATGATGAGATTACCAAGATGAAATACATCCATAATATTCCATGAATGAAGCTAATATGTATATATGATATATAACATTATATATCATATATGATATATACATTTTACCAGTTTGTAGAAAGCAGTCAAAGAAGTTGTCATTGTCCCAGGAGAAAATGTGCCAGTATTAGTCTATAAAGTATTTTCTTAAGTTGAGAATGTAATTGTAGGTAAGCACAATAGCTCCATGTGCCTGGGGCAGCTCGTTCTGTCATTCAGACTGGCCATGCTATTTTTGAGATTAAGTTTGGGCAGAAAGCACAAGTTCTGTTTTTCTACAATTAAAAATATGGAGGGAAAATTTGAAACTAATGAAGAGAGAAACTGAAGCATTAAGAGACAGCATTTACAAGGATCATTTGAAAATTATGGATAACATGTTGTTTCTATGTTTTAAGATGAGTAAAGAGACTCAGCTGTCCAGTTATATCTGAAACAAAATTTTGTTTTATGAGAATCTTGGAGAGCAGTTTAGAGTTAAATCATTGCATTTCATGAATTCTAGACAGTTTCAGATCCTATAGTTTTGTGCAGTAATACCTAACAACCTTTTTAGAAGTAATTTAGAGATTAAATACCCCTGTTTCCTTCCTCAATGTGACTACTGCATACTTTCATCTGTGCTGGACATGGTTTACATGTTCTATGGATATTCAAATGTGGCTCTACTACCTAAATTACACATGTAGGTACTATCTTTTGCCTTTCCTTCCAGGAGAGTTCTTTAGGCCTTAGCAAGGCAGAAGAGCTGTCTTAGGGGAAAAGAAGCATTTTGATATTCAGAAAAGGGATCTGCGGACTGGGGAAAAGTACCTGGAGATGATGGGGAGAGATGGACAGAATCCTCTAAGAACATTGCAGCTCTGTTGTTTCTGGATTATTCTAAATATCCTCTGAAACAATAAGTGGACTTTCATATTTGTTGAACATAATTGTGTGAGAGAACACTTCTCTGACATTTTTAACTGTGGTGACAGGTATTTGATCTTTTGTGAAATTGTTATTAGAAACTAAACTGCTGAGATAATGGTCAATGAGAAATATGAGGGAGGTGCACTCTTTTGTGGAACAGTTGAGATTCCATTTTTTTAAATACTTAAGCTGTATTAAAAATTAGTGAATTCAACAGTTTTACTTGTAAGGACACCAATATAGGTAAAATATTTTTTATATAGTTGGATCACAATGCATTATCATGTGAATAGCTGTAATTCTGTAGCATGTATCAAATTATGCAAAACCTTCAAATAAAAAAAATCTCTTCTTCTACAAAATTGCTTTCATTAGAGCCATTTTTCCTGATTCTTGAAGAAATTGCTTGTTTTTTCACCTAGAATCCATGCTGACATGATTACTTTGAGAAATTCATAAAGAATTTTTGTAGTAACAATTTGGCAGTTTAAACAACTCATAGTTACTATGTGGAAGTCTGTCATGAGGAAAAGAAAGTATAAAAACTGGCATATGGAGTAGAATAAAAGTGTGAAAGTAAATCTGCTCAGTGTATAACCCTGTATTACTTTTTGTAGTGAAAATGCCTTATATAAAGAAGACATCTGGAAAAAGAGCTCCTGCGAAGAGGAAGCTTGCAGAAGAATTTGCTCCAGGAGAGGTGTTAACAGATACATCAAAAAAAGAGTGGAAATTAGGCATGCATATAGGGCAAGGTGGCTTTGGACGTTTATATCTTGGTAAGCTTGTGTGTACTAAACAGAGCATTTTAAAATTGAGGGTCCTTAAAGCCTCCTCCCCTTCATCCTTTCCCCACCCCAACAATTCCTAGTTTAGGAAGGCTATGTATCTGTCAGCTGCAGCATAATATTTTTATTTCTTGCAAAAGGGAGAAATGTAGGTAAAATGAGAATATTAGAAGACATTGAGGCATAGTTAGGAGTATGTGATATGGAAACCCCTCAAGTCTTAGTCTAACTCAGTGGTTCTTGACCTTTTCAAATTTGAGTAAGCCCTTAGTACAGAGGTTCCCAACCCCCGGGCCATGAAGGGTTGGCTGCTGGTCCATAGGAGGGTTGGCTGCTGGATTGGAAGTCTGGAAGTGACTGACATACTGCGGACCGGTAGCCAACCCTTTTTTATACTTCCGGTCCGCAGTTTGCTGGTCTATGGTTTGTCAGTCCGCAGTCTAAAAAGGTTGGGAACCACTGCCTTAGTAAGTTCAAAGCACCCATTGATAGGCCCTTCAGAAAATGCCAGCTTTTAGTTTTCACTTGTTTTTTTGATTATATAAAATGATACGGCAATTCTTCTGTTGCAAAGAACTCAGAAAAGAACACAACAGTTCTGAATGTTTTTAACACTATGGATTGCTATTTCAAATCTCTGGATTTCTTTTGTGTGGAATATTTATACAGCATACAGTATGCATCACCCCTAAAAGGATATCAAGACACCCCAGGGGACTGTGGCATCCAGTCACTGGTTTAACCTCAGCTAATTCATGTGACAGATTAGCTATAATCTTTACTGGTAACGTTCTTCATATATAACCCATTTTGTTCCTTTATAATATCACTTAAATGTTTGTGGACAGGCTTCTATTTTCTTACTTAATTACTTCTTAGGAAGCATTTCTGAAGTAATTCTAGTGGTTGTTGATGATGCCAGATTGATGGCATGGGCACAGCAATTCAAACATAACTATGCTGTCTTGCCAGTGTCTCAACCCTTACTTTAGCAGACCTATCTATGGATAGTTCAGTCTCCATGGTAATTTGATGTTTGTTCTGTCTTATGCTGGTATTTTTTTGTTAAGAGGATACTTAGCTCATAAATACAAAATTTAAGATTGTCAGCTCACTTCTTGCAAGCCACTGACCAGTTAACAGAGCTTTCTGCTTTAGCTGGGATGACTTGCATCTGAACTGCTGCCCATAGGTCATGTTGGTTATTGTATGATCAGTTTACTGAGCCATCTGCAGATGTCTGAGCATTTTTCTGTGTGGGTATTGTCACAAAATTCACTTTATAACGATACTTGAACTTCCAGGGAAAAGTTTGATTTTTTTTTTTTTCTTATATCTAGCACCATTTCCAAAATGCATTCTGCGTAGATGGCATAGAAGTGAGGTCCTCACAGAACCCTGGGGATTCC